CTCCCCCCATCCCCCCCATCCCCAAAAGTTTCTCAGCGGATTTGGGCTGTACTCAGCAACCGCAGTACAGCCCCCAACTCAGATTTGAAAAAGAAAAGTGGATGGTTGTTTTCTGACTGGTCGGCAGACCGCTGACCAGTCGGTCCTACTGGTCGGCTGCAATACGGTCGGCGGTCGGGGTTGGCAGTCGGCAGGTATGCAACCCTGCTTTATACATTGTTTTTCTAATTTCTTTTTCTAATTTCTATGGACTTCTATCATCCTACTACGAACACAAGTGCATCCACCCATCCCATTTTTGTTTCTGAGCGAAGCCACAACTATTCGTCTAGTTTTCGTTCAAGACATAGAAAGGTTCACTGTTGGGATCTCATGGTGCACCATTGGGATCTCATGGCTGGCATCGGAGAATGCATGCTGTCTCAAACGTTCCCATGGAAATCCACAAAAGGTAACTTGTGGCGGCTGTCCTATTTGGCCACGTTCTTTTGTTGCGCACAGCTTGCAGATCTGAATCGCCTTCAACTCTGCTCCGTACTTTTTTCCATACTTTCTTGGAGAGTTTTGGTACTGTATATCGTAGTGCGAGTTCGAGCATGCCAATACCAGCCCGGGTACCAGGCAGTCATGAAGCGGAAACAACAGGCTGGCCAAATAACAGTCACAGCAACAACAGCCCTAGTATGGAGGAAACCAGCACTGAATTTCGTGCTAGAGTTCCGCCGACAACCGGCTTGCAAGCGGGGTCTTCGTGGACCAAGAACAGTTACCATAGCATTCAGCCAGAAAACATGCCTCCAGTATCTGTGCCTGCAGAAGGCAAGACCATCACAGGAGATGTGAATGATGTTTGGCGGGCTGCACCAGTGGAGGTAGCACAGCTGATGTCGGGCATGATTGAAGGTGAACAGAGGAATAGTTTGCCCAATCGAGGGGAGACGAACAGTCTGCATCGGAGAGATGGATTAATCAGCCCGGAGGACACAAGTCCAGAAAGCTCTTCGAGGGAGGGGGGTGGAGAAGAAACAAGTGGTATTGATTCTTATTTGCCTGGAGATAAGGAGAATACTGGAGGTGGTGTCCACGGTGAGGATGTAGCTTCAATATCAGCGTCAAGTTTCATTGCAAGTCTGTTCCAAAGAATGAAGCTCGGGTATGATGTCTTTGCAACATGAGAGTTTTTCTTTGCCAGTGCAGTGCCCACAAGAATTGTTAAATCTGTTTGCATGTGCCTAGAATCATTCTGTTTTTCATTCTAAAGATCGGCACAGTGATGATGAAGTATCTCTGATTATTTGAATCCGTTGCCAGCTGCATGTTGGAGTACAATGAGCAGAAGCATGTTGAAGAAAGGGAGGATGTGGAGGGGTAGAAGTATTGAAAACGTGGTGATCGTGCTTGGTATGGAGGGATGGTTATGGTTTTTGGTATGGAGGGATGGTTATGGTTGCCCAAAGCGTTGATCAGTGGTCTTACTTCACATCTTGTTGCATTATATGTTTCCCTGAACGCGAAGTCTATAGTAGAGTCTATACTGTATAGACATCTTTGATATCCAAGTTCTTCCCTCGACTTCCAGTTGAGTAATGAAACAGTTTGTTGGTGGTTCATTGTGCATCCAGTGGTTGAACTTTTCTTTCCCATAATCAGAGGGTTCTTTTTTTTTTGTAATGTTACACGTGGCTGTATGACGCACAACCACGTGGCTTTCAAAAAGAAACTCAGAAGAACACAGGGGAGTTGGACCGTCTGAACATGCACACATGGCTGACTTTTATTTCAGCACCCGGTAGGGACCAACTGATCCGCTTGCCCAGACTGCAAAAACTGCTCAGCTCCAATGAGGTTTCACAGCGCTGGTGGATTGTGATTCATATTGCGCTGTGAAACCTCATTGGAGCTGAGCACTGGCAAGTGGATCAGTTGGTCCCTACCGGGTGCTGAAATAAAAGTCAGCCATGTGTGCATGTTCAGACGGTCCAACTCCCCTGTGTTCTTCTGAGTTTCTTTTTGAAAGCCACGTGGTTGTGCATCATACAGCCAAAAAAGAAATTGGAGATCCGATGGCCCTCTCTGTGGCCTGTTGCCGGTAGGCCCTCCACAAAAATCCAACAGATTGCGTAGGGCCTACTGGTTATGCAAAGCGCTTTTGGCCATGCGATGGAGCAGAATGTGGCCAAAAAGAATAAATTGGACACCCGGCAGACCGTCTGGCAGTCTTGAACAGATCTTGGGGGGCACTCTCGATCTCTGAAGTTATACTTTGTCATGTGATCAATGTCACATGGGCAAAAATATTTCAAAGGCATGTAGCGCTTCTGCGATGGTCAACAAATCCTATGGCATCTGGAAAAAATGCCCCTCCCATGCCTTTTAATTGTGAACTTTCCTTTCCGGTGATTGGGCTCGTTTGTTTATCCCGTCTCTCTCCCCCCCCTCTCCCCCCTCCCTCCTCCCCCCTCACCCCCTTGACCAGTCTTGACTTGTGCAGCCGACAAAATTCCTTGTGATTATCTGACAGCAAGGAAATAGCTGGTTTGTTCCATGGTGATCTTTTTTGGTCTTCCCCATTGGGGTTGATGAATCATGGTTTATGTATTCAGTCAAGAGGGAAGGCAACATAAGGGGAGGAGAGTGCAATGAGCAGGACGGATCATGCATTATTCAGCCAAGAGGGGAGGGGAGGTCGGGGGTGGAGAGCATATTGAGAGAGAGGGAGATATGATTATGAGTTGTATCAAGGAGGAGGAGGAGAGAGAGAGAGAGAGAGAGAGAGAGAGAGAGAGAGAGAGAGAGAGAGAGAGAGAGAGAGAGAGAGAGAGAGAGAGAGAGAGGGAGAGAGAGAGAGAGCACTGAACGCAATTGAATGCATGCTTAGAATCTCCATCATCATGATCGTAGTATGCCTCCCAGATACCGTGTAGTATATGGGTGCTTTGTGAGTGGTGTACTGAGTACTATGTGGCCATCTGGGAAGTCTGTCTGTGCTATGTAGGAAACGAGTATGCAATACATACCCTTAAGATTGCTGCACAAGCATGCTATGACAGGTTGGATCATTGAACATATGCTTAGTATCATCATCATCATGACAGTAGTATGCCTCCTGAGTGGGCTGTGTATTATATCACTAATTTGCGTGTAGCAGAATGAGTAATAAAACTGTAATATGTTGCCATGTGGGAACTGTGTGTTTGTATGCTATGTAGAGAACGAGTATGCAGTATACAAAATGGTTTTGCATGGTAGCTACATTCAGATCTGATCACGTGCGTACTGGGTCTAGCATGCTCAGTCGACTTTTGCTGATTATATGGATGTGTGAATGTTGTTGCTAATACACTAGCGCCGTAAAGGATAGTAGGTATTCTGTTTGGACACTCCTGATGGCTGTGAGTATTATGTGGGTGTTGTGTTTGTGATGTGGGTAAAGAGACTGTAGTATGTGTGTGGGGCCATCACTGGTATGTAGTCTGCTGTGTATCTTAGCATGAATCTTATTCTATCAGGAAGGAACAGGTCTGAACAACTAGTACTCCGTGCGACGGTTCTTTTTGGCCAATTTTCTAATCAATTTCCTGTGCTCCCTGTGATCTACTTTTTAATTATGCCTGCAGGAGGGTGGAAACTATCTGTTTCAGCACATCTTGGAAATGCGCAGGATTTGAAGCGGTGAGGACAGAAACTCTTCCTGACTGACAATAGCAAGAAAGACAAAGCAGAAAGCAAACAGAAACTAGAGGCTTGCATAAGAAAACATGAAACGACCATCACTGCAGTGCTATTTGCAACGAGTTAGTTAAGGCTGAGCTGCTTCTTCTTCTTTTTTCTTCTTCCTCCTCCTCCCTCCTCCTTGTGTTGTCTCCCTCCTCTGTTCTTCTTTGTCTCCATTGTTTCGCACTGCACTTCCTCTTTTTCATCCCTCTCGTTTTCTTCTTCTTCCTGCTTCCTCTTCTAATTCTCCTCTTTCCTCGTCTTGTTCTGTCTGTCCTTCCCTGTGGTCCTTGTCTCCTTCTACTGCTGATACCACTATGAATCTATGATCACTACGACCTAGTACTAACTGCTACATCAACTACTACTGCTTGAGAATATTGGCACTGTAGATCCGAAAGCATTTGACCCTCTACTGTTTGTCGTATGCTTGTCCTTGGAACTGGATCGAAGTGTAACTACCTCACTACCTACCCCACTACCATCAACCACCACCAGAGCGAGGACCATCATCATCACCACCACCACCACCAGTGATACTGGTCTTTTGACTACGACTATTCTGCTACCATAGAGTACACTATTACCATTGTCACTACCACCGCTACTGGGTTTTCTGCTAATACTGCTGCGGCCAGCGAACATTTATGCACGCTTGTTGGAAAACATTGACACTTCGTAACCTGAATGTGTTGTTTGATGTGACTAAATGAGTGAATGAAAAAGCATCTTGTCCACCTGTGAGTTCATGTTTGATGTGACTAAATGAGTGAATGAAAAAACATCTTGTCCACCTGTGAGTTTATCATATCAACATCATCTTGAACAGCGACGAGAACAACATGAACAACACAGTGGTTTATTGAAGTTTCCAAGTTCTGTTGTATGGTTGGGTGTACTGCACATTTCAAAGTAATGGCTTCATTTTTTCTGCGACGCAAACATGGACTGTGGTCAGTTATATGCCTATGCACAAGATCAACCCCACCGGTTTGCCCTGAGTGAAAGGCCGCAACCTGCCAGAGCAAGCAGACACTGTGAAGTCTTTTGCATTGACTAACGTCTTCACCCAAATAGAAATCCCAGTCCTCTATCACTAGATCTGGACTGACAGTTGCCCCAAATGCTATAATGACCAGGCGTTCTATTCGGGTGAAGACGGTAGGTGGATCACTCACGGCCTTGGCCATCTGTACCGGCTGCAGCACTACTGCTTGTCTAGGTCAGCTACCGTCTTCCCCCAATATAAAACACATTCATTTAGCTGTATTTGGGGCATCTGAAAGGGCTCACGAATCTCAGCACCTCTGGTTCAGTCCCCAGTCCCGATTCCCAGGTCCCAGTTCCGAGTCCCAAGTCCCAGTCCTAAGTCCCATTCCATGTTCCATTAGTGGCTCTAGCCACTTGTATAATATTCACGAACACTCCAGAAGAGAAGTTTTCATTTGCAACCTGATTAGGGATACCTAAGCAGGTTAGGTAAGTAGATCGTGGTAGGACGTCCCTCCTAGATAACAGTCATGGGTTAAGAGTCTATTTTTAGAAGGTACCACGAGCCTCAGCCAAGTATGTCATTAGGCCAGGTGTAGGTCAGTCCAACCAAGCAGCCAGATCCAAGGAGAATCCATAAGCTTTTGGAAGCAGCAAACAAGGAAAGGGTGCCAACCCATAACCGGCAGGAGATGCCTGGTAGGTGGACCAGCAAGTATAAATTAGCAGCAGCTGGACGCCAGCACAATAAATGTTGGGCACTTAATGCGGAAGCGCTGCTGTGGTCTTGTGCGTTGGGAAGGCGACTAGATCAGTGAGAGTGAGCATCGGGCAGTGTAGCCAATGGCGCTGTGCACCATAGCCATAGCTATAGTGCGAGAGAGAGAACAAGACATTCTGAGAGACGAGCGAGGACAGGTGAGAATGAAGGCAAAGAGAGGGAGAGAGACATGTGAGAAAGTGAGGGAGATAGAGAGATAGAGAGAACAAGACATTCTGAGAGACGAGCGAGGACAGGTGAGAATGAAGGCAAAGAGAGGGAGAGAGACATGTGAGAAAGTGAGGGAGATAGAGAGATAGAGAGAACAAGACATTCTGAGAGACGAGCGAGGACAGGTGAGAATGAAGGCAAAGAGAGGGAGAGAGACATGTGAGAAAGTGAGGGAGATAGAGAGATAGAGACTTACCTTCATGCGGAGTTGAGCGGCCATAGCGGCTGGTGACGGAGAAGACAATCAAGTTTGTGTTGATTTCTGAGACTCTTTTGGACGTCGGTCGTCTCTTGTCAATGCGGTGTAATGTGGAACTCGTGTCTGGATGTGTTGTGCATGGTGATCTCATTGCACATCAGTCTAAAATTCTCTAAATACACTTTAATACAGCCATAATGACCATGTGTTCTATCTAGTGGAAGACGGTAGGGTTTCAAGGACAGCCGATCTGAAAAGTCAGAAAGCAGATTCAAGTGGTTTCAAATATGATGGGAGTTCTCTGGCTTGATTGGTTGCCCTTATGCACTTGTGGTACTCTCCATGATCGCCAATGTCTAACTGTCGGAATATTTGAATACACCTTGTGTTTGTCTGTGTGTGGATGGACTTGCTTGTGTGGGCACTCACATAATAAACAGGCTTTTCGACAAGCAGCAGATTCGCTTTTGTACGAGATATTTGGTTTGAAGCTTTCTATGGAGAATGACAATGAAGAATCGGAGAAAGCCCCAAGACTAACTAAGTGTGATCGTGCACCTAACGATGTTGAAATACGAGTAAGTATATCAGCGAGATGAAGTGGAACCTAAGGAAAAAAGGAGGGAGGAGGGGAACAAAATTAGGGACGATGATGAATGCTAGGAAAAGGACAAAGAGAAATGCTGAAGGAAAAAGAAGAGGGAGGAGGGGGGAAATTAGCAATGATGACGAATGTGGGGACAAGAACGAAGAGAATGAAGAGAGGATGATGATGGCTTTTACCTGAAGATAATATATGTTTGCGAGAAGGGTGTTTGGGGTAACAAGGAAGATGAGAAGAGGAAGGAAGGAGAATGGGAAGAAGGAAGGAAAGGGCCAGAGCAGGAAGAGAGAGAGCGGAAGACCATAACGTCCAACAAGTCAGGCGGCAAGGTGAAGTGAGGGCTCAAATAAAATACTGAGCGATACCAACCAGGGTAATGTTGCAAATAGATCAAGGGTTTGGTAGGATGAACAAGTAGAGGGAGCGAAAAGAAGGGGCGAGGAGGAATATATGCTGACCTCCAAAAGAAGAACCCTGTGCATTTATCGTCCGCCTGGGGTCAAAATTGAAATGGACCGTTGCAGAGTACAAGGTCCACATTCTTGTAAATTTGATGCATAAGCCCTTCTTCATTTAGTCTGTGGGCAGTGTTGCATGACCAGTTGGCCCTGTCTTGTCAGAGTGCTTGCGACTCTGGTTTCAGTACTCAAATTGGTGACACTGCCAGTGTTATTGGAACTGTTGAGGAAAGGAGGGGTTAGTGATAATGATGATGATTTTCACCATGATCATGATGAGTATTCATGACAATTATGAAAGCCATTAGGAGGATGATGCCAGTGGACCGCTGATGGTTGATGAGGGCGAGAATGATGAAGGTGGTCTATGATTTCAGTAGTAGCAATGTTCACCGTAAATGATCACTATGACAACGGTATGGCCAATCCATGAAGTGACACCGACAATACTGAGGGTGACACACTGAGGGTGGATGGCAATGATGGAGCTGCTGCTGGTGATGCTCTCTACTTAGTACTTAGTACTTACGCTGTTGGCCACAGTCCAAACTGAGAAGAAATGCATGTTTGTGTGCTGTTCTATTTTAACATACTTTGTTCCGTTTATGTGCAACAAGTGGGCTAAATGTGGGTTGACGGAATGCGTGGCCACTAAGGAACAGTCATCCTTAACCACTCTCTGCTCCCCACTAACGCCAATATCATTGCATTGCAGGCGTCCGATTATTTCACTAAGGACACTGTCCCTACATAGGGATTCATTATCTGTTTTTATGTACATCCTCTAGTATGCCCAACTCGATAACTTCAGCACCTAGAAAGTCAGCTATTTTGAATAGCGCAACAGCAATCACATAAACTTTCGTTTCTGATGATTCAAAATGAAGTCGAACATGCCAACGTATTGTGCCGACCTCGTAAGCCACTGGAGCGTCATACTGTCAAACTTTAACTTTGAAATGTCCACCATGCAAAGAGTGCTGCCTGTGTTTTCTTATAGCCATATATAGAGCATACAGTTCCCTCTCATAAGTAGATGCTGCTAGCTTTTCAGAAGGCATATTCTGAGACATCAACTTAGCTTCTTACTCCCTTGTTTCGGCAATACTGCACCTATCGAATACGGACTTGTGTCAGTAGTGAAAACGAAAGGCTTATCATGAGTTGTGATCAACCACTTTTAGAACAGGGTAGTTAATGAGAGTTGTCGTCTATTGCTTGAAGGCTTGATGACACTCCTTACTCCCATTCCCAGTAGCCAATGAGAGCACTTTTAATTGCTTGACGGCTTTCTCACACTTGTTACTCCCAAGGGGTATCAAGTCTTGTGAAGTTGGTCAAGGGGCCAACTATGATGTTATAGTTCTGAACGATCTGCTTATAGAAGTTGTAGTACCTTGCGACGCCCAAGAGAGACCTTATGTCAGGATCGTTCTAAGGTCTAGTTAGTCCAATCCCTTAAAGCCACAACTTTCACATCTTCTCGCTTTAGTCTATTCTATGAGATGTCATGACCCAAAAACAAGATTTTAGTGCAACCGAACTCACTGTCGAACCATTAATCTTGTACTTCTGCTGCCCACAACTTTCGCACATTCTGGCTTCGGTCCATCTTTTTGGAGACCTCAATGCCTCATGACTGAAATACAAGATTGTAGTGTGACCGAACTCACTTTTGAAAGCATCAAACTTGTACCGGTGCTGCCTCGGAAGTCCAAGCACAGTCCTCGAGTGCATGACATGCACTTTGAGGCTCCTAAACACAAGTATGCCATCTAGATAGACAATTATATGCTTGTCTAAGTAGTCATGAAATGCTCGATTCATGGCATGCTGGAGTGTGTCGGGTGCATTAGATAGCCCGGAAGGCATCACCACAAACTCGTACAATCCATATCTAGCCTGGAATGTAGTCTTTTGCTGATCCTCGGGTCTTACCTCTATCTCATGATATCAGATTTCGGATCTATCTTGCCGAAGTTCTCAGACCCCTGCACCGTCTATGTGAGGTCATCTGGGCACGGAAGAGGCTCGGCAGTACAAATTGTGATGCCAATAAATAGTAAATACCCTTGAGTCAGTGCTCATCCACCCCTCTCCTTCCCCCCCCTCCCCCCCCCCCGTACCCTCCCCTTTCTTTGTGAGTTCCTTGAGTTGTTTGCAAGACTCATCGCCCTCCATTGGAGACGTAATCCCTCTAGATCTTACTCCCTGGGGCTATCTTGAAGGCATATTGTATCTCCTTATAGTCTTCCCCCGAACACAATGCACCCTCTTTATGACTGTGTTGGACCGGAAAAGTAGCTTGTATACGGTCATATTCAGGGTGGGTTATGTTTGGGGGAAGACGATACAAAAACAAGTTCCCCGAACTGAACGGCAAGTATTTCACTTCTTCAGGAACCCCCATGATCTCCCTTTCTGAAAGAGGAGTACGAAGTACACAACCTTCTTTTGGTTATCGTTCCAACAGTTGTAGAACGAGCTCGCAGACAAGCATCCATAAGATTCATTGACGCTGTGAGGTTGATATCTCCTGCACATTTACCACGTTCGATCCGAAGTCTTGTACTTCAAAGATTGTTCTCATCCTACGCGATAATTGATTTGGCTACCTCTAGGTTGTACATGCCCAGTATTGTATCAGAGATTCAGAAGGTAGTTCATTGCTCACAATAAAAGACGCGCTGTTCCTTAATTTCTCTTCCTCACACGAGAAACAGCAAACTACGTCCTTAACGCAGTAACTGCTACTGTCCATACACCTGGCCTGTGCAACTTGGAGTGACCATTGATGTGTATACAACTGGCCTATGCAACTCCTACATCTTCTCACTAAAACACAGCTTTTCTACACTTGGCCGACTCATGAAACTTCGGTTGGATCCTATATCTGCCAAGGCTTGGACTTTCGGTCCGTTGACTTCTTCCAGGATCAACCTCACCCGTAGTATTGAGCTTGGTAGTCACTGATGGCCATTTCCCACTTTGTTTTGCTACCCAGGAGCATATCAGATTTGGCAATTGGTCTTCTAACCCCTCAAGGGAATCAGTCGCAACTCCGGTGCAGAGATCTCACTGTTTGATTGTGACTGGGGGCTAGCTTCAGAGTCAGCAGCCATAGGCACCATGATGGGGAGTTCTAGATGACACTATAATGGACGAAGATCAATGGACCATACAGATTGCATACCAGGCTACATATGACATGGATTAACAAAGATAATAACGGGAAAAGAAAAACTACAGTAACAGCATCTAGACTTTGCACACTCCACTTAGACGTTACAATGGTTACATGCATGGATTACAATGGCTGCAATACTGTCTTCACCCAAATAGAACGCCCGGTCAATACAGCGGTATTTGGAGCAACCTTCAGTCTAGATACAGCGATAATGACCGGGCATTCTATACAGGCGAAGAGGGCAGGGTGGGTGTACTGAGAGTTGGCCCTGGGCTGTCATGTGTTCAACCTTGGCCTCGTGGGAGTCATTGGATACTGCCTGTGGTAGCTTGACTAGGGGTACTCTCGGCACAAAAGTCCTGGGAGGGGATCATGGGTTAGCTCACGGGGTCGGTGCAAAAACGTGGTCATGTCTGGCCTCCAAAGTACCCATGAGATGCGGCTTGTCTGGCATCAGCTTCAATCAGGGCTGGGGTGCTTGTCCTGTCCAGCACTGGAGCCTACAACTGCTGTCCGGTAGCCAGTTGTCTGGTAAATCCATTGGAATGTTGTAGGAGTTCCTGTGTGTTCCTTAGACCACCAGTACACAGCCCCAGCCTTGCTGAAAAGAAAGCCGTCGTCCATCCGGAAAGGTTGGTGCCGAGACGGAGTTGATTAATTGCATCGGTGGCCTTTGTTGCGTTTCGGTCTCTGGAAGGGGCCCGCGGCCGATATATGGCGGGTACTGGTGGTTTAAGACAGGGGAGTGCGGGGTGCGCCAGGGAGACTGTTGAGGTGGGAGGGAGGGGCATGGTCGAGAGCCCCTCACAGACCCCC